CTCCGAGAAATTCGTAAGAGAATTCTCTTCGCAGGTAAGTATAGTATAATCTAATTAAATCTCTCCGTGGATCGTGGGGACTTGCATTTTCTCGCTTCAACAAGTGAAGCGTATCAAGATCATCACGGATGCCAAGCGAGGATTCATCGTTGAGTGAGTATATCAGACCGCGTACGCGATTTCATGCGGAGTGGAACTCGCGCGCTGACCTTTGCCAATTCCGTTGTTGCAGGTGCATCCAGGTTGCAACGGGGTCGGCGCAGATGGAAGGAGAAGGAGATGAGACAGACAGAAATAGACGGGTGGACGAGAGAAGGAACGGAATAGCCGGCGTAGCGGAGGAGAGCCGGGAGAACGAAGAAGAGAGGGTGACGGGAGGATGGCGGTCAGAATTTATGGCCGCTTTATCACTTTACCGGCCTTGCCGCGTCTCCTTTAGCCATGAGGAGGGCAGGATCTTACGATGAACTTTGGCACTCGACTCCGCGGCGCGCTCGACGAACGGTGAGCCTCTCCCTTCTTCTGACTTTCTTGTTTACTCGCGTTTCATAGTAGAGGATTACGCGTTACACCTGTTTCTCCTGTCGTTGCTTTTCCACGGTTCCTCGCTGCACGAATCATCCCCAAATCGACCTATGCTTACGACTTATGATAGAAAGGGTTGTTTATGAAATTCATTTTCTCATAGCCAAATAGCGTTCGCAGTAGGCTACGTACAGTACCGTGTTCAAGGTAGTTTTCGTTTTAATTCAACGATCAAGCCTTTTACCTTGATTGCGAGATGGAATTTATAGTTAGCAGCATAGAACGAGTTCATCCTGAGAGACGGGCGAAATTACCGCGACGCCCGTGTCCAGGCGTCGTGACGCGCGTTTACGACTGCATAACGCATAAAGTAACCCCCATTAACAGACCATAAATTCAATCCCCGCGGCACCGTTGTTATGTATGAGCGTCGTTAGTGTTAATAGAGTGTTAATTGCTCCTATACCGCTCTCGATTCTGTTCGGGACGTAGGTGACGTAGGAGGCATCGTCGATGGTGGTAGAAGGCGAGACGGATAGAGGAGGGATAGAGAAATGGAGGAAGAGGGAGAGAGATCATTGAGGATTCTCGGTTGCGTGTCGTCCAGCTACAACTACTAGCGCCGTGCTTCTGCTGTTTTGCATAGGGAATGCATCAATTTTCGGCGCCTTCCCCCTTCGCGGAGCGCTCTCTCTCCCCCTTCGCCACCCCCTAACGTTGTTCGATTTCCGATGCGTACTGTTTCCCGTACAGCAATTGCGATTCCAGTCAAAGATAATTGATATCGCTTTCAATGATCCTTTACGTTCGAGATGAACCTTGCTGTCAGATTCTCTTACACGGCCTTGCATCGATTAAAAGAGGAGATATACCTTTTCATGAACTCATCTATCTAATTATTAGTATAGTATAGACTCAGTATTGTACAAATCAGTATTACTAGCACTGGTCTTAATTAAGTCGTGACAATACTTTCGCACGCACGCGGCAGGACGTATTAATCGTCGCGGAGCCGGAGATCGTATATACTGTTTGTGACGTTTCAGACGCGAACATTGATTGCGAGAGAGACGCCGGCGTCGCTCGTCGTGCTCGCAGAGGAGAGACGCCCGCTCGCGGGGGTGCACCGCCGTGTTCCCGGGGGAGGAAACGAAGGAGAGGGGGCGGCGATATTATTGATTTATGTCCCGTACCACCGGTTATGTATTCTAGCTCCTCCGCACCGGTGCCGAATGATCCGAACCCCGACTGCCACCCCCTCGCTACGTCTTTTAACATTTCCACTCGCTAATTCCATCGATTACCTAAATTACTTCCAATTTCACTCTTGTTGAATGAGACATTTTTGCAAATCCGTTTGAGACACTGGAACTTGAGTAGAAATTGAACGACTACGAATGATATTTTTCTGAAATCAACACCTCGTTAAAATAGTTTCTCCGTTTTACGTTTACACAACTTTTCCTCTAAGGCTGCGATAGCGATCAGTCTCCTCCAGTCGTCAGCCGGAACTCGGAACTCGAGAAGGCAACTTTCACTGTGTATTAGCGTGTTAAAGTTAGCCGGAGGGGTTGTAGAACGGGTTCCAGTCTCCTCGTTTCCGCGGAGTTTCGTGCCGTACGTGTCGTCGATACGGAAAGGGTAAATGCAAAACCTTGTAAGGGTAGATGGTCTCGAGTTCCGACCGGCCAACAAAACATCCTCGCAATTAGCCGGTATACTCCGATGACACTGGGACGCAGTCCCTAGCGGGTGCAGGGTCAGCCAGGAAAATTTGCTCCGTGCTTTCATCCCCTCTGGCCTCCTTCGGCTGGACGTCTATCTTCCGCCAATTCGTTGAAATTAAACATGAAAGAGCAACCGATTAAATAATCAAAAGTTTCTGGATTTATGCCTCGGAGAATCGAACGTGTGGACTGAGAGGGCGCGTGCCGATTCGGAGGACGGTGGAGAGGAGGGGTGTTGGACGAAATTGAAAAGTGGCCGGGAGATATGGCCCCGGACGAATATCGGTAGGCAGATGGATGAGCAGCGGCTTCGAACAGGGGATTGAAACCGGCAAACGGACGTGAAAAAATATCTCGCCGATGCCCGATCGGCTGAAAACTGCTCCCACCAGATATACTCCTCTATTCCTCTTCCTGTTTCTCTGCGTTTTCACCCTGTTTTCATTTCGGTTCGACGTTCTTCTCGCGAAATTATTGGCATCAATTACAGTAAGGGTAAATTCCGTGCATGTTCAATTGTTTGCTCGAGGATGGGAAAGGGATAAATTTCTCTGGGGGTGAAAGAAATTAACTCTGGATATCTCGTATAACGAATGTTTTATTTCTGTTTCAGATAGTACAATTCAATAAAATTCAATCCCAACGCTCAACGGATTTAAAAATATGGATGGATCAGGATCAAATCAGGCTTGGATCAAGATTCCTGAATATGATATAGAGTACGGAACTTAGATTTCAAACGAAGCTGAACGTGAATGGATCTTCAGTACTCTTCTCATCTCTCTTGAAGCTCAAAAATCACTTATTACATTCGGACGTCATAGTCACTCGACGAGGAACCTTCGGCTGTACTATACTGATGCAGTTATCATTTTACATCGCGCTTACAAAGAATTTTACGCACGCTACACTAGATTGTTTGGACTTATACTGTCACAGATTGCACTATAGACAATCCACTGTTCTCTTAGGTCCTAACGGTACCACGTAGGGTACTGGAAGTGTTCGAAACTCCGGAAGACAGCTAGGGTCGGTGTCTTCGGAGACGCGAGACCATTTCAAAACTGGCGCCGGTTTCGAGGCAGCTGGCAGCCATTAGGTTGCCCCCGTGACATTCGAAGGGAAGAGGATGATGGTTCCATCGAGTAGGTAGTGCCTAGACGGAGCTCCACCCAGCAGTTAGTCCACGTCGTGACTGTTGCCCAGGGCACGGCCGTTTCCAGGGTACAGTCACGCCCCTGCTGTGCCGGTACCGTACTCCGATTCGCTGGCCCATATCTCATCTGGTCCATCGCATTAGCCTAATCTGCCAACTACGAGAGAATAGAAGGGACCACGGGTGCAAGAGAGGGCCCTGCAGGGAGAAAAGGAGACGGCGTTCGGTAAAAAAAAAGAAAAAATGCAGCCATCGACGGTCTGCCCCCGCCGCGGCCGCGAGAGATCGCGTGGCGAGGTGCTGCCACCTTCGCAGCCGAACCACGGCGACGGTCCGATCGATTTTTTTGCAACGCGTCACCTGAACCGTTTCCCGTGGCTACGTTTTTGATCCGTTATCTGCACCCCTTTCGATGTCCCTTTGATACGCGATATCGTCCTACCTTTCAACGAATTCGCCGGTGGGTACCGCAAAGGGCATTCTCGAACGTCGGAACTGGGACCAGCGCCCATGCCGGATACGTTGCATCCGATGAGGTAACCGTTTACGCCTGAAAATTTCTATTTCGCTGATGCTCACGTTTTTTCAAAGATATTTTCATTGTTACGTGCCTATTTTTGTCTATCGGTATCAGTTTCGGAATGTTTAGGACAGAAATAGGTGGGGTAATAATTTTTAATTATTATAAGTTCAGTACTAGCGTTATTCATGTCTTTTTATTAATATAGAAAATTTGTACGAGACTTCGAATAACTATAATTTGAGATACAACAACGTGGTATACGTAGATTCGTTTATTTCAATTGAAGCAAAATTTCAAAGGATTTCTTGTTCAATATTAATAATACTGATTATATCTACCGAATACATAATACATACATATAATTACTAATTACGGAATGGCATATCGAATTATATTACAAGCCAATTGAATTTCCGCGGAATTCTATGTTTTTAATTATTTCGAACAATATACGCATCTCTGTGCCCGCGCGATTCTCAAATGAGTAGTTCCAACCATTACCAGTGAATCATTCCAATTAGTTCCCAACAGTGCTCTTTACTCTTTCCATTCGAAATTAATGTGGTTCTTTTCGAATTGGAATCAGTGGAAAGAATTAGACAAATATATATTGCTATTTAGATTTTAAAGAATATCTTTTACGAGAATCATACGAATTCCAGCAATAATATTACGATTTTTCTCCGTGGATTATGTTAATAAAGTAGCTAAATGTAAATTTTCAACAAAACACTACGTAATTCATAAGCGCGGGATGTTATTCATACACAAAAAATTATTTCTTGTAATGCAGTAAAAATAAATGTAATAATCACTATTTAAATGTATTGAATTACATCTACATAATTTTCCTTAACACACTCAAAATCCGAAAAGAACCACTTTAATAGATATAAAATCAAGTACATTATAAATCGTATAGTGGCAGTGGTGAAACGAAACAAAAGAAAATATTTTTGGAACGGTTCGTAATTTTAGGCATAGAGATAGTAAACAATCGAAAATGTTGACCGACATCGACGCGGCTCATTACTCACGTACGACATTTAGTACTGATGCGTCGTGGGGAGTGACGGCATCATCGCTCCGATCCGCTTGAGCCGTTTGATCGCGTTTCGAGTAATAAAGTTTTTGTGAATCAGCTTAGAAACACGGTACGCGCTCCGCGATACGGTTAACCGAGTCGAGTCAGTTTAAGTTCCACGTCGGACGAGGAGGCAGCTTACGTCGGACCAGTACAACGACCTTCCGCGCTCCCAATCTTGGAAAGGAAAAGCTGGTGAGTACCTTCTGCATGTCGAGCAATTTTTACCGTCATTGTTCGGTTCCTGTTCATGGATTCGATGCGGTCCTGAGCTTGAGCCAGGCGATCCGTGAAGCGACGGGAAAGTCGGATTCCGGTGCTGGATACGGCCTAGGTTAGGTAGACCCGTTTCGAAAGTATACCGTTCGCGATTTAATCGAGTAATAGCTACGATCCTCTGTTCGTGTTTGTGCTAAAAAAGTACACAGGAGATTTGGTAATACAAGTACACAGCAATTTACTTTATTTATTACAAAATCAGTTTTGTTACATGTTTACGATACATGAATCTTTCTAATTTTATTGAGATACTAAAACATTTTCAATAGTGTAAACGTGAAGCCTAACTTCTTACTTAAATCAGCCTACGCATTTTGAAGGCCGAACGTATATTTTCGCTTGCCCGGTATAAATCTTCATTTTCCCGTCGAACGTACGTGACCTAAGAATTACTAAGACGCCAGGTCGGCATGAAAAAAGCCAGATGTGGGTCGGCTCGAATATTGCAACACAAATTTTGGGAGCCCATAAATTGCTCCAGTTTCGAAAAGGAAAAGGACACGTGTGCACCTTTGCTGGAACAATTGACCGGCTTTCCTTGGTCCTGAGAACCGACCTGCGTTTCGCTAGTTTTGCGTAACAGGGAAACGAAAAGATGCAGAGAACGTGGAAATAATTAAGTGAAACGGAATGCAGACTGCCTGAATAGTGAATGCTTTATGAGTTGGATACAAAGTATTCTTTGTGCACGCTTGACGCTTTGATTTTGCAGTTGTCAGGATCGAGGAGTCACACTTTCGTGTATGTAGGTGCAGGTACTCCTGGTTCCATCCTGATATTGATAGAACAAAAATAGCGCTTGAAAAACAGATCGTGCGTCGAGCAGAAGATAAAGTACTGAATTACAGTCATAATACAACTGCAGAGTTGCTTTTTGCTTCTGATTTTTTCAATCAAACTTTTCTTATCATATTCGTGAGATTCTTTTAATTAAAATGATTAAATATGATATAATTTAGATTCTGTTTATTTATGTATGAAAAATTTGTATATTTGTCATCATATTAGTATTGGTTCAGACAGATTATCCATTTCAGATCATATTACATTTAATCGTTTCACTGGTTCCATATAAGATAACAGTTTTCGTTAGTGCTAAGAATGAAATAGTCAGACTTTGAGACTTGACCTGTAGGACTTTTTCATTTATCGAAGAAATGTTGTGAAACTATTTCAAAGTCCCTAGATGTCTTACTATTTAAATGCGGAAAGGAGAATGAAATTTTTAAGAAGATTTTGTAGAACCAATTAAAAATCTGCTCGATCAGGCAGCTCTGAATTCCGTTTGGAAATACGTTAGGTAGCCCGACGATTCTCGAGTTTCGAGATCGGCCGGCTCGATCTCGAGCAAATTGAATATCCAGAGTAAAATTGAAGCGACGATAGATGATAGGGCGCGAGGAGGCTTAAGCGCCCGTTTAAATTAATTCGCGCGGTTGTTACGGGTTTAAAACGTGGCATTAGTCATTAAGGCCTGGTGTTAATTATTAGATGAAATGAAGTAAATAGCGTATTGTGTGAAAATTAGCTTAGCCGACGTGGTTCGCAGTTCGTTATGGTACCGGGCCTCTCCTCGGCGAATAAATATCTCGTCCCATCAAGTATGCGCGTAATTTGTTACGAGAAGCGATACGCGTGACCTGTGTGCGTCGCATAAATTTTCGTCGCAGGTGCACCGCTCTTTCTTCCCTTGTCTAGACGTACATACATACTTACGTGCATACAAACACGCCTTATTTCATTTTTGGTTCGTCTATCAGTCGCTTCGATTTAATCCGGTGCACTTTTGCAGATTTACACTACACTATTATTACGACGTATTACGAAAATATCGCTAAAAGCTGAAAATTGTTATATGTCCGTGATTTCAATCGCGACATATAATTAACGTACCGTGGAGGACGTTCTTAAAAATGTGCATTTTCATGTGATCAGAATCGCAACACGATCAGATCGTGAATGTATTCAATAATCGTATAGAGACCACGTTGCTACTTATTTACTCATTAACTGGCCGTATCATTATCTATTGACCTTTGAGATTTGCAAGAAATTACCAGATTGCCGACTATATTTCGCTAAATTATACATCGTGCGTTCCCGCTGTAATTCCCATTACTGTTAATTACAAGCTGACTATCTCTATAGTTCTATTTGGATGGTCGTCTGGAACCGAAACCTAGGTGTTCGAAGATCTTTATCTGTTTAACTTTTCCGCATCGAGAAACCTCTCGAGACTATCAACGCAACATTTCAATCCAGTGGTATCATTAAAAGTCGCGCAGTATAACTCGTAATGAACAGTCTCGATGAAATTCAATTACCGAGCTTTGCCTTTTCCATTATCCGTTTAAAGAGCAGTTTGTTATATAGACGGCGCACGAGGATAGTAAAATTCTATTTTTAACGATTAAGCACCGAAACAAATGGCGTGACAGCGTTCCTCCTATTCATTCAAGAGCCGGCTGCTCTTCAATTGATTCTTCCTGCAAAAACATTATTTCACATGTTACGAAACACGCGTTCCGTTACACGATTCGGTTCATCCATCAAGGTTTGGCGCCGTTCGCGGTTTATTTGACTTTCGATTCGTTTTATCGCGCATCTGTGAATTCCTCGGGCGGGAGAAGCGAGAGAGGCGTCTACGCGAGACATTGAGTCGTCCGGTTGACAAATTACGGCCCGTTTATACGTTCCACGACCGAATATTTTCGCTTCTACGTTCCTACCTCATCGCGCCCGGCGTTACTTTCGTTTCTGAATCGAGTCGCGGAACAATGGACCCATAGTAGGATTCTGCCCGGCGCCATTACGTTCCCCGAGACGAGGGGGTTCATAAAATAACCCAGAGAACCGTTCCTACGGTTCGCCAAAGCTATTTAATTGATTATCTCTTGGTGTCGAATTCATAAAAGTTTATTCGGCTATCACGAGTGACAAAGTTTATACAGTTCTTTAATCCTGTATATCTATATTTTGGAACCGGCTGGACTAATGATCAGTAGTACTAGTTTGATATCTGGCACCTGTTCCAACAATCGTTCTGTTGTCCCGTGTACAACGGAGACCAAGATTAATGATGCCTTAATGACTGCATAAATGGTTTCTCGTCGAAGTATAACTCAATCTGCGTGAAACGTAATTACATAATTATATGTATAAACTGGTCTAAGATCCGTCTGTCCATCGATATAGTTATCGTCGTTTGACAGATTTCTCCCGAACGTGTAGATGAATGAAGATAAATATGGTAAGACAGTCGTATTCGATTTTTAAATAAGGACACCGGACAGGGGGTGGAAAAAATGGAAATGGAGATAAGAGCGGGTGGATACGGAATCGGTTATGGTCGCTCGTCGGTTTCCACGGCACAGCGACTTCGGGTTTAATAGCTGGAAAAGAGAAACGATGCGCGTTAGCCCCGTAATTAGCGAACGACCGATGATCACGCGCTCGCGCGCTGCACGCGCAATTATCTTCGGAAATTTTAGAAAGCTCGTTAAGCCCGTCCTCCCAATTACAACGAATACCCTTTTAATTACATAATCGGCCTACGGTGGTTTAATATTTAATCGCGCGAGCGAATTTCGGTGCTCGCTCGAATTTATGACCGGATTAAGAAGAATATGTATTTTCTGGGACGATTCGGCCGGCCGTGTACCGGCCGACAGCGCCCGAATCCTTACTCTCGTTTTCCCGTTTCTCCTTCTGCCGTTGCACCTTCTTCTACTTCTTCTGCGTACATTAATCACCCTTTGGCGAGGACTCGCGTAACTGGCGTCCACTTTGACGATCGCCTCGTTTCGTCGCTTTTAAGCTCGATTTCAAAGCCGGGACTTTTCTGAGAGATGAACATGATCACTCGTTCTATCGCGTACCGTTTCTTAAGCTCCTCCGACGCTTCGTACGTAATCCCGTCGTCAACTGTGACTCATAAATTAGACAATACGATCAGTGAACACGACGACTTGATTCATTCGTTTCTTCATTCCCCCTTGATCTCCCCTAATTACTCCGAGTCGGTTCAAAGGAAAACAATACGTATTTACAATAAGCGAGGGACAAGAATGTTCTGAACACCGGTTGGACACGATACGATCGGCCATCGATTTTCGTCGAAGGGTCGATAGTGAATTTTTATCACGTCCAAAGATCGTACGAGCTATGTCTTCGTCTTCGTCTTCGTCGTCGTCGTTGTTTACCTGACAGCGCTAATTCCGCGCTTTAATTTTATCCGGATTACGGTTCTGACGTTTGTTGGCCGTTGCGTGGGCAGAAACACGCGGCAGCTGGATCCTGTTGTTTGTCGTTTCGTTGCAACCGAGACCAAGGCGAGGCCCCGGAGCGTAACCGACCATCGAGAATTGTCTTACACACGTGGCCCTTGTTAAACGCGTCCCGACAGCTACAAGTTCCTCCTCTTGGTGCCAGTAATTGAACCAGATTTTCGGGAACTTCGTGGAGGGTTCGTTCTAATGTAATCGCGCTGAAAAATACAATTCGTGTTATTCTGTAAAATTGGTACGATTTAAATAGAGAATCCGGTGCATCGCAAGTAAATAGCCGTTACTCGCGCGGCACGTTAACGATGGGTCGATTATTAATTTCCATTATTGCTATTAGCGCACGCGGAACGCGCGCGTTAATGTAACGTAACCGAAAAAACTACTGAAAACGAAAGAAAAAACGTGGTTAATACGGAGGTGCGGCAGAGTTGCAATCCCTAACGAATATTAATAACGCGGCGGTGCAAAAAAATTTTTCCCCGTGCATTACATCTAATGCGACCCTAGCCGGAGTAATTTGAAACGCACCTATGATATTGCGTCGCGCAAATTAATACCAGTCGGTGTTCCGTTGTTCATTTTAAACCTTTTACAAAACCCTGATTACCAGGGGTTGAAAAATTTCTACGG